CGTTAACTAACCATCTAACTGACCGCGTTAACTAACCATCTAACTGACCGCGCTAACTCGCTCTTACCTCGTTATTTCATTAATACATTAACTCTGTTATCAACAATCGACAAATAATTTCTTTGAGTTCGTCTCGTTGAAAGTGAAGTTACTTTCGCGAACCGTGTGACCATAAATCATTGGCAGACGTTGCAGGATGACTCACGTTGTTTTTCGTGTCGTGTGAGGTGCTGACCTGTGCTAGTAACTTCTCCTGTAAGAATCAGATGTATAACAGAGAACAGCTGAATCGTCTGGTTAAGTCATTAGTACTGCAGGATACAGATGACGTCACAAAGCATTATGCGTTAAGCATCAACGAGGCACAAGCATTGATGTTCCATGAGTAAGGTGGCGAGTGAGGCACCAGGTGTCTCTAGTAGAAATACTTATGGCAGCATTATTATAACAATCTAGATACACTTACATTGCACAGATGCATGCATGCACGCACACACACGCACGGGGTGGCATATATTTAGTGAATCCACTTAAGAGTGTTTCACCAAAAGATACACGTAATCTCATCGATGTGGCATCGATGTGGCCGATCTGTACGCCTCCCCGCATGATGTCTGGCTAGCTATCAGAGCCGCGCTGCCGCGCCGAGTAAGGAGAAGCAATGCGAGAGAAAACTCGTGCAGGAGGAAATTTTTTTCGAAGGTCGAAACGCGAGATGAACGCGTGACGCCGCTTTTGGCAGGCGTAACCACGGCGACGCCGACAGCGTGGGATATCGTAAGACGCGTCGTGAGGCGCGCTTCACCTGTTTCTCCTTCTTCTCCTTCTCGCAGCCTCTTCGGCAGTCTTCCCGCTTCTCTTGCCGTCGACCCTCGTCCTGCTCCTCAAGCTTCTTGTTCTCTTATTTGTTTCTAGCAATAGCTCGGCAGCAACTTGTACCAGCCTCAGTAGCATAGGGAATGTGTACAACTACAAGAGAGGGACGCACATCGCGAGGAATCCATGCCTGCATCGCCCGGGACCACTCGTAAAGCAGCTACTGCCTACAGGTATGACAGTCTGGCTTGCAGAATATGATATAATTAAACGGGCGATAACTAAATGATTTAACTCACACGTGATATATAATCATTACAGAATCTTACTGGAAATCTCAATAGATTACTCTAGAATTTCCTCCAATGTTGGTGGCTGTAAGAAACTCTACAAAATCCAATAAAAATTCGGCTTAATAAGAAATATGAAATTCTCTTAGAGACGCAAAAAAAAACTTAGCAATAGGATCGGCTTAATGAAATATATAATACCCATTCCTAATAGAAGCATACTAACGACAAGAATCCTGCATGCAATTCCATAATAGAATATTTCAGGAATCCCCTCAATGCCTTGCTAAGATTAAGCTACCTCTAATTCATTCTCTCCTGTTGTTGTCTGTCGCTTCGGCACCCGTTGTCTTCGTATTCAACACGCCCCAGCTGAGCTCTCTGTTCCCTCTCCAGCCAAAGCTCATGCCCCTGCTCCCTACAAAACAACCACTCATGCACTACCAACATAATTCATGGGTTGTTCGGCATGACACAAATGTCTGGCAAACAACCGGCAAGATACTCATGTACGAGCTTTTAGTATATATTAGATCACTCATATATATATATATAATACTTATG